TTTTCCTTCGAACTACTAATTTACTGCAAACAAGTTTTTATAATAAAACCCCCATATCACACGGCATTTTTACGACGAGCTTAAAATTTGAGAAAACATCCCGTACAACACGGACTTGCTCTCTCAAGTTGTTGGAAAATTTTGAAATTAATTCGTGCAACACAAGATGTAATCAGAATTTTTAAATTCATGAAAATTCATTTAATATTTTTCATTCATGCTTGTCCATTGTGTTTAAATATTTCGATTTTAATTTCAGAATTTCAATTTTATTTCTTTTGTAAATTATGAAACATATTTTATTAGATTTTTGTAGGAATGCAAAATATTACGTTTCTTTTATATTGTCGTTTGATTGCATGACACTCATAACTATATGGAATTTTATCCATTGTTTCGTACAACGCAGGATTTTTTAGAAAACTAACGATCGTGTTATACGATAGTTACTAGTAATTCGTACGAAAAAATAGTTTTATGGAAAAATCATGAAATAAATGGGCCTACATAATTTCGAAAATTTAAAAATTGTATCTTTTTAACTAAAGTTAAGAATTATAAAAGAATGCTACATTTTTTTCTGCGAGATTAGAAGAGCAAGAGAAAAACACATAAAAATAGATAAATATATTTACTTACTGACTAGGAAAAGAAAAAACAAAAAAATAAAGAAATAAATCCCTCTACCCCCCCCCCTAAAAATAAAAACATAAATCCAGCGACTTCCCAAGAATGTAATGTCCGATGTAACATTGCGACTCGAAAAACATGAAAGTAATCTAGTAATGTAGTAACGAAAGATTTTAATCATCGAGCTTTTGTTCGATGGGATTCGTTACATGAGCTACACTAATCCGTGACAAGCAAACGTTGTTAAATTAAAGTATGCGCTCAAAGAATTTGACCAAAAATGATCGCATTTAAGCTTCCAAAATTCGTTTTCGCTTAAATTTAAATAAATCTTGTGTTTATCCATTTTTTATTTGATTTTCGTAAACTTTCGATAATTTCTAGTAACCTTAAAGTCGTAGACTGAAAATTTTGAAGTTAATTATAACAAATAATTCAATGAGAAAATTGTCCAAAAATTATTTTTATTATGTATTATATTTTATATTACAATAATTTATAATATAAAATTTATTGTTAAATAAATTTATCCAATTTTTTAACTTAGTAGATTATCTTAACAGCTGGCACATATCGAGATTTTTTATTTATTCATTTAAATTTCTTTCTCGAATATGGCGAAGACGTTAACTTTAAATTAAAATATTCAAGTAAATTGTAGACAATTTTTTTTTTTTGATTTAATTAATATTTGTTAGTTTAAGATTATGTAAAGTTGTTATGATTAGGAAAAAAATGTCAAATGTAAAAAATAAATTCTGACCATTAGATTAATATTTTAAGAAAATCATGTTTGTTATCTCTTTATGTTAATAATTTATAATTTGTTGTGTTATAAATATAATAATACTAAATCTGATCGTTCAAGGTCTTTACTACGAGAAAATAAAATCTGCTTTTAGCTAGATTTGAAATAAGATTATAACGTTTCTTAAAAATCAAAAACAACTTACTTTAGCTCTTCTAAGAAAAAAAGTAATTTAATTAATAATATATTAGTATAGCGAATTGTAGTCGCTAACAAAAGAGAATTGTCAAGAGAAGCACATAGTTCGATTTTCTGATTCCTAACGAATCGATTGAGGATCGATGAATTTAAATGAAACATAATACAGTACCTGCCTATTCCAGAAAAAGCCGTACACATTGAATGCATTTATCAAAACGAAGTTTTAAAAGAAAAGCTCGCGGCGTTGATCAATAGATACTGCACAACTAATACATTTATTGTATTATAAAAGTATGTGTCATAAAAATAAATAAAAGTAATCTATAAACATACACCAGGTAGAAAAAAAGGGTTTTATATTTTAAAGGCTTACAGTACTTATCGAGATAAGTAAAAAAAGTCTAATTAACATAAATTCTAAAATCTTTCTAAACAATCTTACAATCAGTAAATACTACAATAAAATCCCAGAAAATATAATACCCTTTATTTATTCACTTAAATATATATATTATACAGGGTCCGCCAAAAATATGTCTACACATTAAAGGGAAAAGATTTAAAACTGTATTCTAATATTAAATTTTATGCAAATATCACGAAAATAATAAAAGTTATTTTTAGTTTTACAATTATAAAAGATATTCAAAGTGGTGACCATTAATTTCCATATGTACGGTGACTTATTTACTTGAGTAATGTGGGTCTAAGTGTCCATTGGGATAAATTACATAAATGTATATCAATTTTCCATTTCTTCTCTAAAGAGCCGCCGGTGTAGTCGGTTTCCTGCGATATATGACATTTTTTAGGGTCTCTTATTAGTGCTTATGTTAAGTAAAGAGAACATACCTTTTCCTTCTAATTAGTGTCCTTGCAAATTCTTACTAACGATCAAATAAGATAGCACACGTTTGTAGTAACGTGGTTTTAATAATAGATATTGCATATTATTATTCTTTTCACTGATGTACACGTCAGTGAAACATTTTTTTTGTTAGGATCTGTATATATATTCGATTAAAGATCTAATATGCTAATCATGATTAGAAATTAAATTTATTTTTCATTTTTTAGATGTATAAATTAATCTTGAATACGTTTTTTTTATTATCTCGGAAAATATTTTCCAATAATTAATTATTAAGAGAAAAAATTACTGAATAGAACAGATTTTTAATAAAATGACAAATAAAATAAATATAAAAATATAAAATTATGCGATCTCACGTCTGTGAATTTCAAGGCTTCGTTATGTGCTGAATGAATTGAAAGTGTACGTCTAATGCTGGCCTATTAACTTATATTCATCTTTTCACAAAAAGATCGTTTATTTGTACCTCGCGCCGAAGGAAATAAGGGATATAAATATACATCGTACATATATATATGACACAAGTAACCCCTTATTGCCAAAAAAAGAAATTTTTTTTATAACCAATATTATTATAACTTTCCCATTTGTAATTATTGGGAAGAACACGACCACCTTATACGACTTTATCTTGCACAATATTTCATTTGAAAAATTTTTTAAGCTTATGTATGCGTGTTAATGTGTGTATGATAAAACAAACAAAGAGAATAAAGAATAGGCACAACCGATGTAGTTCATTTTAATCACTCTTATACTTATTTAAATATCTTCGCACAATTTTTATTTACTTCAATGTCATTTTATTGTACATGCAATTTTTTAATCTATGTATTTTTTTTAATCCTTAAGATACCTACTATTTAGAATTGAAAAATTAAATTCGAAATAGAACATTATTCGTATAACTTTAAAAGGTATAACTTGATTTCGTGTATAAATTTCATATCAATCTGTTAAACTATTTATATTGGATATAAAATAACTGGCGTATGCTTGTGATTAAACGTCCGCACCTATGCGATTCTCATACGTGTGCATGAAGTGAGCTCTGATGAAAAACTTGAATATAAATGAAGATCTTGTTTTGCGTTTTTATCTTTATAACATTTTTTACTACTTCCATAAAAACTTTGATAAAATTTATGTCTATACTTGACACTATTTTCAATCTTCTACCAAAGTTTTAATTACGCTTATTATACAAGCAACTTTTATGAATATTTTATTTTAAAAAATACCAGCATTTGAAAACCGAAAGTCGGATTAATCCGAAATTTGAAATAAATCTTTTTGTAATTATTTCTTTGTTAGATTAAACTTTTTGATATAAATTTCAAATCAATGTATTCAACTGTTGTAGATGATTATGGAAATCTATAAAGAAATACTGTTAAGTTTTAATATAAAATGTAACAAGAGCAAAAATGTTTTTGAACAGAAATAATGTCTGAAATAATTGTTACACTTTTAAGTATAGTAATGTGAGAGCATAATGAACTCCCTGTGGTCGTGTTTAACAAGAATTGTAATTGAAATCGACGAACGAAAACTTTCGTAGCTAAAAGGAAGAAGAAGGAGAAACTTTTATCGTATAAGTAAAAAATCAAGAAAGTTAAAGTAAGTTTGGATCTAACTACGAATAATCTTGATACGAGTTTATGTAAAATTATGTCATTATAGACAATTTTTCTTCACCTTTTTTTTCAAGAAATGACGCTAGCGAATCTATTAAACGCCAAATATATTACAAGAAATATCGATTTTGTTTAACACTCGGTATACTAATATAAAATATTTTGTGTTAGCAGCGTATGTAAATACGTCTAACGATATATGTATATTCTATGTAATCTACAGTGTGTAGAGGACGAAACAAAGAAATTATAAAGAAATCATTGTTATAGATTAGGACTGTAAAACTTGATGTATTCGTACAAAAACACAGCACCAATAAACATGGCCTAAGCAGCATGATTCGCCTCCTTTCGTATATTCATATATTCTCTCATTATCTTAGTTAACCAATAAGTTGTAACGATCTCTTTAAAAAGTTTCTTCCTAAATTGTGCAATCAAAATGAAACGATAATATAATTATATTGTTTAATCGCAAAGTATTGTTTGTGTTCTTTGGAAAACGTTTTCATCAATAAGATTAACATAAAATAGTAAGATATAGAATTTCTTTTTTTGTAAGTTAAAACAGTTTCTCCTTTTATCTGACAGGGCCTAGATCAAGTAATTGCTAAGGCTCTAGGATTAGACTTTAATAAATTTTATTAATTGATATTAAATTTCAAAGGTTTGGCACCAGTTAGATTTACCAAACCAATTATATGTATATAAAATTACCCAATTTGTGTAGTCCCGACTACCAGAAGAAGAATAAAACAAGCACAGGCAGATATTGTTGGATGATCCAGTATAAAAAAAATCATGTGTGCAGATCACACGTGTTAGAAGTGAAATCTTCAAAAAACTAAGTTTCGAGAAATTGTAGGATTTATTTAATATAATATTATTACCATATATAGCAAAGGGCACCGGTATGATCTCTGAGTTGGATAGTTGATAAAAAGTACACTTTTCCAAATTCAAGCAATAAAAATGGAATGCTGAATGCAATAGTCATAGATAACACCAAAATCGTAAGATGTTTATCGAGGGAAATATAATTCGTCTTAAAATAAGTAATTATCCTTTGTATCTCGCACTTCGAGATTACGAAGGTAGTTTCACTACTTTCATGACTTGGACCACAATTCAGATCTAAAGTGAACGACTGGGGCGCCCCGTGACCATTGTGGCGCTGCCCTATTACTATTTATTCATTCGTTATTTTTGCGTAAGACAGATCACACGTTTGGTGCAAGTGAACAGTTTCAACGTATTTTATTAATAATAATAGAGATAGAAAATTATCAATGGGTAGTAGCAAGAAGAAAAGGTCAAGAAGTCGGGATCGTTCAAGGGAAAGGACATCCAAAAGACTTCACAAGTTAGAGGATAAGATGGAGGAGATAGCAACGGGGTTTGCTGCAATAAAGGAAGCCATCTTGGGACCCCAAGGTACAGTCCATGAGATGCCGGAGCGATCGTAATCAGATGTGGAAGGTAATTGTATCCATTATAACTACGGATTAATTGTGAACACGAGATGCAATCACAATTTTCGTAAATTATACCTTCACGCCCGAGAAACTTTACATGATTATAAATAATCATGATAATTACATCTGGGTATGGTAGTGTTCAGTTTTATCCGAAAGGTAAAATGGGCCTTATATGGTAATCTGACTTTATCTGGAAGGTTAAGTAGAGATTAGAATTACTCTAATTTACCCAAGAGGTATAATTCAGAGTAAACAATAGACTACCTAATCTTGTACAGTTGTTAAATAAATTAATGTATGGAAATCTATAATAATATGAATTAAATGCATTTTGAATCCAGTCTTCATAGGAGCTGGATGCGGATGCTCTCCGTATCTTTGAGAGGATCCGGTGCAGGAAGAACTTAAATTCGTCCTGCACTCCAGTGTCGCTAATCGTTGGAAAAAAAAAATATATTTATCCGAAGGTCTAAAGAGAGTCACTCCTAGGAAAATACCCCAGGAAGGGCAAACTTTCGTTCGAGCCGCCGATTTTGAATGAAGAGGTGACAGTTAACTTAAAAGAATCAGCTCTGAAGAGGGACAAGTACTCTGGTGCTACGCAGAAGCTAGCAAGATCTGCTTGGCTGCTTTGACTCCAGTAATTGAGTCTCTAGCATCTCTTAGAGATCCAGAGAATTGTTACACTTGTTGACAATATAAACACTTTTTTTACTACTAGCCGATGAATCGGCTTTTCATTGCTAACGCTCATCGATAGTTAGTCGATTAATTGACTTTTTCTATTGCTAGAAACAACTGCATGTGCATCTAAGCCGGTAATAAATGAACAGCAGCCTCAAAAACGAGCGGTTAAATAAGTGATGAGAGATTGGAGCAAAGTTGGGATGCGGCAAAATTACCAATTGAGATCGACAGATCTCAAACGATTGCACGCAGAGCTTGCAGCTTACCGACGTTGTCAAAGCAGTGGGCGACGGCACTAGACAAAAGGCAAGCTAATGATTATTTGTTCGGCGATAAATTAGTCGACAAGGTTAAGGAGATCAAGGCCATTGGGGAAGTCTGGAAGAGTTGAAGCAGACATTTTACCCCTAGTCGAGCCAATATCGTCAGCAGAACCAACGGTCTCAGAACTGCTTCAGAAGAGAATGTAAGTATGTTTGTGGGGCGTCTAAAGTATTTCTTAAAAGCCTGGAAAACAATCACTGAGGACAGAATTGTCATTCAGTGTGTAGAATGGTATAAAATACCTTTTAAATTGGTCCCTGTACAAACTCGTCCACCACCTGACAGGGTTTGGTCGGGTCAGGAAATGGCATGCATCCAATCAGAGATTAACAGACTGCTTTCGATAGGCGCATTTGAGAAAGTACAAGTGGTTCCTGGACATTTCCTTTCACCGTTCCTTCTGGTCCCTAAGTCGGATGGTCAACAGAGGTTCATTCTGAACCTGAAGAATCTAAATACGTTTGTTGACGCAGAACACTTCAAACTCGAGGATCTTAGATCCGTTTACAGCCTTTCGGAGCGTGATATTTTTATGGGTACAGTGGATCTTAAAGATGCTTACTTTCTGATTTCAGTATGGAAGTCACATCGGAGATTTCTGAGATTCCTCTTTAAGGGGGTATTCTGGTCTAGAGGCACGAATTTTAGGTACTTTTTCAAGTGCAATAACAAAAAGACGAATAATATTTTCACTATCTATAATGTTACAAGATATTTATTAATATTTCAAAAATACATGAAAAAAAGAAAATAGTGAAAAAATTAAAAATTGAAAATGATATAGGCTGATGAAGTGGGGGTTCCCAAAAAAATATGCGTGACGGTTGTCACGATTGCAACTCTTCTAGTAATCCGAAATAAAAAAATAGAAAAGGTTATTAATTAAGAATAATGCCGCTATCGTTCGAACTAAAAGAATTGAAAAAAGTTTTTTTTTCGCTAAACTACAGCTGTTTGAAAAAAAGATACATTATTTTTACCACTTTTTTTACTTATCCGAATTTTTTAAAAATAGTAAAAATTGAAAATTTTGTAAAATTTTAGTTTGCACGATAGAGTAATGCACTGAGAAGACACTCACCAAATTTCAAGCAAATCGGTTTAGTAGAACTTGAAATATCTTGACAATTGTGAAAAAAAACCAGTTTCGAGAAAAACGCGTTCAAAGTTTCGCGTAATAGGGGAAGAATATAGGATGCCGCGTCACTAAAACAGCTATATCTTCGAAAATAATTTGAATTTTGAAAAATCCTCTTGAGGACATTTTCTTGAAAGGTTGTAGCGTCTCTCATGTAGCGGTACGACCGATGGTCGCGCCATCTAAGTTACTAGAAGGCTAGGGAACCACGCTAGCAAGTGTGGTCACCAGACGAGTACAGTCTGTGCGTAGCCGTTGAGAAGTGTACAACAAAGAAAAGCAAATCGCATCCTAACAATAAAGATCATAAAACAAATTCAGTCTAATATTATCTTTACTATAGAGAAACCCTCNAATATATAAATTTATTAACAAGATACAACTAAACTCTTGGACGCCATATATAGGACTAACTTACATTTCGACCGTTACGTTCAACTTGGGTTTAGTTAGTCTAGTACCCGCATAGGGAGGAAGGGCGCCAGTGTGCCGCGTCGATACACTAGGCACGTATCGCCACACTCACCAGCACGGTGCTGACACCTCTCGGCCGACTGCGCGCAGCTGCAGCATCGCGTGCAGGAAAAGTGCTGACACCTCTCGGTCGCCAGCACTAGCTTCCTTATGCACCACGTGATGCGACTCTGCAGGGGTGCGCTGGTCTACCAGGGGCATTTCCGCTCTGGCCTCGCGGCTTGACCACCACGCAGGGGCATCCAATTAGCTTGACAACGTATTTGATTGGTCAGGGCTGCAAAGTGATCGCTGCGACCGTTGCCCTCTCTACTTCCGGATGCTTGGATCGCCGTGGGAGTTCATTCACTCGGACACTCTCTCATTGTCCGCCGAACCGGCTAGTCACGCTTCTCGTTGTACTCTATATAAAACTTTCTTTGTATTTCTCTAACACGTGGTACACCACATACTGTGAATAAAAGCTCGTCCCAGGAGATCAAAGTTAAATAGGAAATTTCTTTCTCCCTACATTACGGGTTCTCATTGGCCTGTTCCTTGCCCACGGCCCGTTCCTCGCGTTCAGGAAAACGCGCCTTTACGTTGCTAGTAACTCGAGAAGGAAATTCCAAAAGGATAAGCTTTAAAAACAGACAAAAAAATCGATTTTTTTTAATTTCTAGACCAGTATACCCTTAAGGGGAAAATTTATGAGTTTGTTTGTTTGCCCTTATGCACGTGTCCATTAACAACTACCAAGTTGTTGAAGCCGGTAATAAACTATCTTCGGATGAGAGGTTATGATTCATTGGGAATGTTGATAAGTCCAATTTGAAGCCCAAAAGAAGACGTTAATATTTAGGCTTTATTTTTGACCCATTTACAATGAGGATTACAGGGAGCTTCCAAGAGAGAAAATAGTCTCAGTACAGAAACAGATCGAGGATCTTAAGAAAAAGGACACGGTGAAGATTCGTGATTTTGGCAAGGTTGTGGGGACAGTAGTAGCGTGTTGTCCGGCAGTTAAGTACAGTTTGTTACACTGTAGATCATTGAAAGGACGAAAGTCCAAGCTCTAGAAAAAAGTAGAGGTTGTTTTGATTCAGCCATGGAGCATAATAAATATACCCTGGAGGACTGGGATTAGTGGTTAAAGGCCTTACCAGATGCCAGTAAAAAGGTGAAAGCGCCAATGGGTTCTGGAGCCAGAAGGAGAGAAGTCTTCATATAAACCACCTGGAGCTTAAAGCGACACTATGGGCCTTGTAGTGTTTTGCGACGGACCTGAGGGACACTAATGGCTTACTCATGGTGGACAACACGACAACAATGGCCTATATCAATAGGATTGGTGGTGTCTGTTATGCCGGGCTACATAGCTTGGCGAGTGAGCTATGGAATCGGTGCGAGGGCCGCCAATTATGGGTTTACGCCTCGTACATCCCGTCGAAGGAAAATGTGGAGGTTGACCGATCACTAGGAATCGATAACCCAGACGCGGAGTGAAAATTAGCAGACTATGCGTTTAAAAGAATCATCAGAAGATTCGGGAATCTGGGGATCGATCTATTTTCTTCGCGAATCAATACTAAATGCGCGGTTGCTCGTGGAGGGAGATCCAGAAGCCTTCGCGTTTGATGCTTTTACAGTTAGTTGGTCAGATTGGATATTTTATGCCTTTCTCCCCTTTTCCATCATAGCTAGAGTGATTAAGAAAATCAAAAATGATAAAGCAAAAGGTATTTTGGTTGTACCTTACTGGCCTACTCAGGTCACGTCATCATCCTTTGGCTGCAAGACTTACCCTAGTTGTCGCCAGGTTATCAGCCAGGCACTTGTAATCAAGGACATGCTTAAGGAAGCAGTGGATATCTCGCTAGCTTAACTAGCAAAAGCAACATTAAAAAATTACAATGAAACTTTGAAGCTCTGGTGGCGTTGGAATAATCAGGTCATCGGAGATCCATATGAGTTGTCTGTGGAGAAGGTTTTGAAATTATTGACGGAAAGATTCAGTGATGGAGTTGGACATAGCGCGCTAAACTCAGCCAGGGCGGCGTTATCTTTGATCGAGAATATCACGAATAGCCCTTTAATAAGCCGATTTATTAAGGGTTCTTCGAGGATGAAGACTGGATGTCCTAAGTACGAATCTACTTGGACTAAATGACATGTATATATATACGATAAGTAGAAACACTGATGGAGAAAATGTGAATTGGTTGCAAACATTTTGGACAAGGTTTCTCAAAAGTGCACCATACACTATTTAATATAAAACATCGATGTGTGAAGGACAATGAATTTCTTCTTCTTGTTCTTTCTTCCAAATAGGCACAATGTCTGTTCTTCATCGCGACGCGCTTCATATAGTCAGACTGTCGCTCCAGCGCTTTCGAGGTCTTCCAACGCTTCGTCTCCCCGATGGTAACTTATCTCGGGATATTTTGACCGTCGGTCCTCTGTCATGCGAATTATGTGGTCATTCCACTCATTTTTCTGCTTAATACTCAGTCGTTGATATTCTCGATCTGGCATGCTTTTCTGAGGTCTTCGCATTTTACTCTGTCCCATAGTGATTTCCTAGCTATTCTGCGAACTATCTTAATTTCAGTTGTTTCCATGATTTGGCGTGTTTTAGATGTTTCGGGTCTTGTTTCTGCCGCTTATGTTAGTATAGGCCTTATAGCGCTTTTGCATCTATTCTTAGATGCTTGTTTCGGAATATGGTGTCGTTTAATAGTGAGGCTGTTCTTGCTGCCTTGATGGCTTGTCCTCTTATTTCTGACTCTATGTCACCGAAGCTCGAAAATTTTATATCTAGTAGTTGAACTTTATCACTTGTTATATTATCTTGTCATCGACAACCAATTTACATCTTAGGGGTTTTTTAGATGTAGTCATGCATTTAGTCTTGGATGTTGATATTGTTGAAGAATGTACAATGTATTGCTGATAAGCTTGAGCGGCAGCGGCCGACTCGATCCGAATCGATCCGAATCAATCCGAATTTTTTCGAATGATTCCTTTTTGTTTTACCGTAGTTAGTCGTATATATAGCTCCACGTGATGTAGAAGCGTTTGCACTTGGTTTCTTATGACCATTAAAATATGTAAGTTTTGAATTAATTGGTTACAATAAATAATAATACTTATACTTTCTAGTTTGTTATCATGCAACCAACCCGATCCACAACCAATTTTAGATAAATTTAACAGATATAGACATCCCGATTGTCTTAGCAACTGTGTTGAACGTATACAGGAGCCTTTGCAGGTCATCCTCATTTTCCGCTACCAGGACTGCATCATCGGCGTAACACAAGATTTTTATCTCTCGGTTCCCCATTCGATATCTTCTTTGTCCGCGTACCTTCTTTATGATTTCATCCGTTATAATATTAAAAAGTATGGGATTCAGTGAGTCATCCTGTCGAATACCTCTTTCCACCATTATGGGTTCTGTAAGTTCATTGTTTATCTTTGTCTGTATTCAATTATTTCGGTAGATGTCTTCGATAGTTTTAATGATTTTACTTGGTATTTGTCTGTCATACAGAAGGTGCACTATATCCTCTAACCGTATCCGGTCGAACGCCTTTTCTAGATCTATAAAACAGAAAAATGCTGGTTTATTATATTCTATAGATTTTTCAGTTATTTGTCTGCTAACAAACGCTGCATCTGTGCATGATAGTCCAGTTTGGAGACCTTGTTGTTCAACAGTTAGTGTGATTCGCTCGTTTATTAGGTTTGTTATGACTTTGGTCACTAATTCCAGGGTGAAAGACAGTAGATTTATTCCTCTGTAATTCGCAGGCACCTTCTTGTCACCTATCTTTAAAAAAAGGATTGTTATGCTTGTTCGCCACTCGTCGGGAATTTTTTGTTGTTCAAAAATTTTTTGTGTTAATACAGTCAACTCCTGAAGCAATCTTTTGCCGCTATACTTGAGAAGTTCGTTAGTGATATCATCCGACCCGGACTTTTCTTATTTTTGAGTTTATGTAGTGCTTTTCTAATGTCCGACTCAATTATTCATATCTGGTCGTCCATTACCACACTCGGTGCTGGTTGTTGCATGGGTGCACCTTTATATAGGTCTTTAAGGTAACTGGTCCACGTTTCCTTACTAATTTGACTAGCGGGTATTAACTCGCTTGTTTCTTTCTTTTGGCTTCTTATGAATCATCACATCTGTTTCTGGAGCCAGTAAAAGTATCTTTCTAGTCGCTTTGAAAAGATCTCCTAGTACTTGTCTTTTAGTTGTCTCACCATAGTACCGGTTTCATTCCGAATTTGTTTATATGCGTTGGATGACTCAGCAGTTCGGGTTGTTAGATACTCTATGTATGCTTCTTTCTTCTTTCTGCACTGTTTTTTAACTTCTTCTCAGAACCATGATGTTTTATTTTTTGTGAAACCTTGGCTTTTGTATGTTGTTATTCCTACAGATTCTATACCTGCAGTTCTGATGTTTGTTGTTAGTTAGCTCCAAATTATTTTGAGATCGTCCAAGTTAGTGGTTGGATGCAGTTCAACTTTTTCTTCTAATCATTTTCTATAAAGATCACGGATAGTTGGGTCCTAGAGAGCTTCTACCCTAATTTTTTCTCTTGCTCTGACTGGGTGTTGCTGTTTTCTTTTGAAGCTATACTTTAATCAAAATTTGCCCAGGAGTAAACCATGATCGCTTCCCACATCAGCTGAGTTAAGCACTCTGACATCTAAGATTTCGGAAGGTGGTATGCATCTGCTCGTCACAACGTAGTCAATAGTTGACTTTTGATCGCGGCTGTTACCAAACGTATATTTGTGTTGGGCTTTATGGTTAAAGTAGGTGTTATTGATTTTAAGCCCTGTCAGAGAACAGAGGTTGATCATAAGTTTCCCGTTATCATTAATTATGTTTTTGTTGAACCGTTGCTTGACTCCGAAGATTGGCTCGTTACCGATGCGAGCATTAAAATCTCCGAAGATGATAATTGATTCACTTGGTGGTACTGACTCCACGATACTCTAAAGTTCATTAAAAAAAGTTTCCTCTTCTTGTTTCAGCTTGTTGTCTTCTGGCGCGTAGACCGATATTATATGCAGAGGTTCTGGTTCGGTCATCAACTTTACCATTACTATACGTGGTTATGATATATATATATATATTGGCATTTTTCCACTTGGTTGGTGTATTTCTTATGTAAGGCGATAGCCACGCCTTCTTTAGCTCTTTCATTCTTGTCAACACCACTATATATTACCACATATTCCCCGTACGCTTTTTGACCTTTGCCTTTTGTTTTGTTTCCTGTAATGCAGCAACGTCTACTTTCATATTTTTTAGCTCTTCTGTTATTTCTTGCTCTTTATTGTTGAATGCTATTCTCAGGAAGCTATTCTCAGGATATTTTTCCGTTTCCAACTCACTGTCCTTTTCCGTGCCTGGGTCGTTTTCCGTGTATCAGTCCTAATCCGAGGCGATTCTGCGGGTCTGTGAGCGTGTTATATGTTTTACGCCAGGCAGGGAGCTAACCTAATCTTTTAACCTTCATCCTTTATCCGGGCTTGGGACCGGCAACATAACCACTGAGCTACTCAATCCACTCAGTGATCATGCAGGCGGACTTGACAAAAAATTTAAAAATGTAAATTTACTACATACACGTCCTGAAAAATAGCTAAAATTTGAAAAATGATGGGAATGGCTTTGAAGGATGCGTAAGGTGTACACTTGGTTAATACTAAATTATTAACAGTCTTCAATATATATATATCCACGATTGTATGTAAGTACAATGAGTGGATCTCACCTGCGTGGCAGGAAATTACCGTGGCGGAAGTGTATGGATTGCCGATACACTTTCCTCCCTTATACTCTTATTTGTATGTGCTGCATAGTTCTCTTTTGCTGCTAATGTAAGATACGTCATCATAGGTTTCCTCAGGAAAAAGAGGACGAGCGATTCCTTTTGATGGCCTAGCAGGGCGTCGTATCCCGTGTGTAGTTGGGAGATAGAAATGGTGAAAGGATGACGAATATGTCATTACTCAGTCCCGTTAAGATGGAAAAGTCTAGGACAAGCGACGTTTGAATATGATTCAATCGTCTACAATCACCTCCGATCATAAACCGGTAATGACTTAACAATCATAAATAAACTAGTGGAACAAGGGAAAGGTCTACTAAAACAAAACGTATCCTGAAAACAGGACTGGAAGACTTCTTATTTTTAAACAATTTATAAAAAGATTATTAAATTTTCAAAAAATATTGACAATAATAATAGGTATTATCTCTTCCTAAACCTTAAAAAAATCTTTTTCGCAGGTTTCATTGTTATACCGAATTGTAGAGCTATGTCTTCCACTTTTTGTGGGACATCTACATGAACAGAAAATTTTCTTAATACAGTAGCAATTATTCCTTTGATTTCGAGCATTGCAAAATTCAAACCTATAAAAGCAGAAATGATTCTCAATGTATTATGATAAACATCTCTATATGCGTAGGTTAGAACTTAAATAGTGGCAACTATTTATTCACAACCGATACAAAAGAGTTACATGTTTGCACCTGTTACTGTCTTTCAAAGTAGTCACCAGCGTTATGTGGAACCCGTTGCCGGCGATGTGGAAGGCGTAGTATACCGTCAGCAGAGCCTGTTCTGTTGATGGTGCGAATGGAGCGGTCTACTGCTATGTCTCATCCGGTGTTACGATACGGCGTAAGAAAGCCTGTCAATAGCCTCTCATAGCGCTCCAAGTGCGTCTGAGCAGTGTCGTAACGCATCCATTTCTGCATTTCCGTCAATTTATGCAGAACCCATCGTGGCATTCGCTTCAGAACTGTTCCAGAGATTCGACAGGCAGTAGACTGCTCCATTCGCACCATCAACAGAACAGGCTCTGCTGACGGTATACTACGCCTTCCAAATCGCTGGCAACGGGTTCTACACAACGCTGGTGACTACTTTGAAGGACAGTAACAGGAGCAAACATGTAACTCTTTTGTATCGGTTGTGAATATATAGTTGCCACTATTTAAGATCCACCTACGTAATACGATTTCAGTAATAGATAAAAAAATGATACTACCAATGCATACTCTTGGAACAATGCTGAATGGTAAAAAATGTTTAGTATTGTAATTGCCAGGTAAAAACCTATCAGGATTAAATTGTAGAGGATCTTTCCAATATTTTTCGTTTCGATGAAGTGCATAAAGCATGAGTACACAAGTAGAATTTTTTGGTACTATTACACCCTCGCTCACTTTAAAAAAATAATAAATATATGTAATTACTCTATAAAACGTAAATTATTTAACGTATTTAACGTATTTAACGGAAATATATTAATACGAAATAATAACGTAAATCTTCACACACCTTCTATATCTTCACACACATTTCGTGCAATAAAAGGACTGGGAGGAAAAAGACGAAAAGTCTCTTTCATCACTCGATCCAAAAATTTCATATTCTTAATATCTTCGTATGTAATATGCTCATCTTCAGGATCGGTTAAACCATATATTTGGTAGAGCTCATCGTATACTTGTTCCTGTAGTTTAAGATGCAGTAACGTGATTCAATTTTAGTGTAAAAATATGTTCTATTTTTTAAAGGCAGTGAGACAGTTTATATAGAAAGTAAATTTTACTCGTACTTACTTGAATTTTTGGGTAAGTTGCTAACATTAAAAATACAAAAGAAATTGTACCAGCGGTTGAATCGCCTCCCTAAAAAATATAAACAGTTTTTTTTTTATTCTTTCTTTTAAAACAAAAGTTTTTTTTAACTTAAAGAAAACCTGACTTACAGCCATAACTATTGTATTGATTTCATCTCTAATATCTTGCTCCGTATATTCTTTTCCCTCGTAGAATGATTTGAATAACGAATCAAGAAATGAAGGAGTATATTTTGCTTTATTCAAAAGAATAATGAATATACTATTTAGCATGTTCAGAACATTTTGTTGCAACAATTTAATAAAAAATAGAATTAGATTATTGAATAGTTATTCTTACTTGCATCTTTTTCTTTCATTTCGCCATTAATTTTCTTTTCTTGCATCGATTCCTTCTGTTCCTTTATTATCTTAACAAAAAAGTTCTATTTATGCATGCATTTTTATGAAAATTATAATATAGTGAAAGTTATATATATATTTATTTTATTGTAGTGATAGAATATTGTGTATAAAATGAGATTATTAAGATAAACATATTTTCTTTTTTTATACCTCTGAGGTGATTTTATCCAAATGTGATAAAGCTTCTCTGAATCTTTTTCCTACAGATAGATTATAGAAAATGATATTCGGATGCAACCAAAATTTGAAGATCCTTTGGGTCGCTATGTCAATTAATCTGAATAAAAATAAAAATCAGAAGAAAACAAAACGTTATATTATAAAATTTGATAATATTACAAATTGAAAGTTATTCTTATCATTATTACACTGAAATATGGTCACGAAGTCCTCCTTCTAAATTATTTTGGAAATTAAAATCCCGGTCTAAAACTGTATCTATCAATACAAGAAGAAAACAAATATTAAAAAATTTATTTATAGTAAAAGAAATTTTTTTATTATCTTGTAATTATATATATTTTCTATACCTTAAATATTTCAAAATCTTACCATATATCGTATCCAAAGTACAAAGATTTATGTAATGCGAAATGTCTATTTCTTTTTCATTAGAATTTTCAAGAATTTTTGCAAATCTATTTGAATGTTTTATTATCTTGTCCACTTTGATAGAAAGAGATTTTTCTTTGAATATTGGATTTAACAATTTTCGATGAGTTTTCCATATTGATGCTTTAAATAAAAAAAATATTTCTGTCATATATATTATATTTTTCTTTTTTATATTTAAAAATTACTATTTAGAAAAGGAAAACTCTTTTAAATGTATGTTACATGCGATAGTGTAAACGTAATATGCGAAAAAAAAAGAGAAAACTCTTTAATTAGCAATTACTTCTTATTTATTTTTAAAACGTACTCATCATCAGTAAAAAATATTTTAGTATAATTCTTTTAATTAAAAGATAAATGTATAATTATATAATTTACCTGGAGCAGTTACTAAACCATTACCTATACAAGGTTTCATAAAATCATATACGAGACTTTTCTCAAAAGCATTTGAATGTTTACAAATAATCTAGAAAAAAAAATTTCAAATATATGTATGATTTATTGAATTTAAATAGAAGAAATGTTTATTATAATATAACAAATATTTAAGGGGACACGTCAACAAAAAAAATCGATTTTTTTTCGATTTTCTGAAAGAATATTATTTCAAAAATATTTCTTCAAATTTTGGTAAAGATCCGCCCATTATTTACGAAACTGTAGTAGTTTAAACGGAGCGCGCTTTAGCGCTTCAAGTAAGTATCCAAAACTTTAAACGTTAATTTCTCCTATTCGCGTTTTTAAAACGGTTGCCCTCGCTGCGTCCAGACCATTTATCCGATCCTTACCAAATTTTGTACAGTAATACTAGATACACGTATCTAGGGAATGAACGATAGGATTTTTCGAAAAAATGCCAATTGTTTTCTTTTCTCAAAAACTTGGCGATTTTTCTGCAAAAATGTCAATTTTTTCGTAAAAAGTCGACTATTTTGAAAAAAATTAAAAAATCAAAATTTCCTTTTGTTCATTCCCTGCGCCAACATCTCTACTAAAGGATGACAATCGGTTTTTTGTTTCTGATGAACCAATTTTTGCCAGTGAGGGCAACCGAAAATCACCTTTTTTTTTTTGGACTCTTAGAAAAGTGGCCACAGACAACACAATTTACAATATTTTTACACCCAAAAAATTGTGAATATAGTTCAGATATATAACCTACATGTACCAAAAATTTGTATTGATAATAATAAAACTGGCTGCAAAAAAAATTCACAAAAAAACCGCTTTTTTTTGCACTCGAAAGTGACGTGTCCCCTTAAATATTAAGGTTGAATATAGAAATCGAAAAGAAAAAGTAAGTAATAATAGTTAGAAATCGCAATCACACTCGTATAACACTCACTAGTCACACCGAATCAAGAAGGCGAAGACCGCCTTCTTCACCGCGCTTATATGTACATTCACCCCACCTATGGTCCCAATCACTTCCGTCAATCATTCTCGAAATCTCCAGACTATTCCCAACCAATCAAACAAAAGACTTCTTCCCGATTTCCGGTGCGGGAATATTCGAGAGATTTCGGGGCGCTCACAAAATGATAACACTACCATGCACGCTCGTTTTTCTTTCATGCTCGTATTCATACCGCTACACGTACTCACACTCATACTCATATCGCTGCGTGCACTCACACTCATATCCATATCGCTACATATTCTTACAAATCTTTCACGTTCATCAATCTTTTCCACGCACACCATACACTCGCACTCTTCGTCTTTCTCCCACCCTTACATATATAAAAATGAAAAATTTCAGCAAAATTAAACTGTGTAAAACTCATTTTAAGATATTATAGAACTGATTATTAATCTTACTTCAATATGTTTCGGATCATCTAATAATACAAATAATTTTGGCCCTAACCATAATCGCCATGGTGATGGAGAGTATTCAATTGCTTTTAACAATTTTTTAGTTATATCTAATTATAAAATAAATTCAATTAATACTGTTCTCAAGAATGTAAGTATTATAATTATAAGACGAAAACTTACCCTTGATATCACCAAGAAATATATGTAGATTTCCAATGAGAGGATATGCTTTAGGTCCTGAGAACCTTTTTATTAAATTATATTCATGTAATTTATTTATTAAATATTTTATCATATAGTATAATAAAATTATTATAATTGGTAATGTAATAAAAATTTCAATAAATTCCATAATGTTTTAATTGAATCCAAAAAAAAATATAGAAATAGTCTTCTGGTTTAAAAATATTATGAGTCCTTCTTATGTAAATTTGGAACAGAAAATTTAACAAAGCACAGAAACTTCAAGCTATCCTCGAGTCTCAGCAGTTATTGAAAGAAAATCAAGAAGAGCTTGGCTTATTTAAAGAAAACGATGTCAATGGTGGGACAAAAAAACTGATTTAATATCAAATTTTTTGTTCGAAAGGATATTCTCTCACGTACATGCGTTATATAAACTCCGTTGTTTGTAAGTTTTTTAATGCGATATATATATATAGATAATTATTCATAAAAGTTATTAATTATTCATGTGACATAATTTATATCTTTCTTTTACCTTGATTCTACAATAGCATTTATGATACATTCTCTTTGCATTAATTATAAAAGATAATACTTATGAATTTCTCGATCAAATTCGGCCTGAAATTTTGAAAACCGTGAGTAGTTACGAAAATCGAAGGATTTTATTGCTAACCAAATTCGTAATAGCAACTCTTTTTTATTACGGTAATGAGAATGGCTTTTATCAAATACAAATATTTATACGAGACAAATAATAAGCAACTAAATATGAAGTGGTCAGGAAGATAATAATAAAAAACTTATACGTACGTGATTAGAAGTAGTGATTAAGAGGGATGACGAAATGCAAGGATGTTATAACTTAATATGCATATAGAGTCCCTTTCGGGTCCCATAAACACAAAAACTAAGATTCTACTCAAAAAAGGCTTTAAAAAAAGGGAAAAACGTTTTGTAGGATTCGATCATTCATTGCGAATATGAATGTCTGCATATTATGTTTTGTTAAGAGATAGAGAAAAACTTTTATTATATTTCACTCACATAGTTTTACGAATTTTTAAAACATTTCAAACGCTAAGTTTTTTTTTACAATATGGAAGATAAAAATATTTTTTTGTCTTATGTGTTATTAGTTTAGTAGAATGTCTATAGTTAGGTGTAGGGTATATTTTTCATTGCACAGRTAATCTCTGTGATAATCTACAGATACATTAGTGAAAATAGAATTTTCTAAAAAATCGAAGCAACCTTATGAACTCTCTCTTCGCTAAAATTATTTTAATGATTTGGTACTACAACAGCATGAAATCAACATCTATGTAAGATGGAACGAAATCATTGTAATGTCCATAACCTATTTTCGATAAAGTTTTATTATCTTTTTCTTCTTCTACTTGATATCAGAGAGAAAAACCAGGCGAGTAGCAAGAGATATATTTATAAGCATTTAAGAATAATACAACTCGTTTTTACCTAATTGCATAATCACGGCAATCAACTTTAATTATTCCAGAAAAACTACATAATTTATTTTATTTATATGCTAATCTCTTACGAGTTAAGAAAATACATTGTTGTTMRGATGTTTATGAATTTTTTGTCGGTTTTTATATGTCTTCGTTCATTTTATATGTTTATTATTACGTCTTTTTAAGATTTGATTTATTATTATTTTTAAGATAATTTCTACGTCAATACATATATTTTTTTTTTTCTATATAGCCTGTCCATAACTGCATGTAAAATATAGTCATATAAATGAGTTTTAATTCTAGATATTCAAATTATTAAATATCGAAATGAAAACTACATAAACCTAGTTAAATGTAGTAATTTCCTTTATTCAAGGCATCAACATGGATAATTTATCAAAAAATCATAAATTCAATATTCAAATAATCAATTYTTTGTATCAATATGGAGCAGATAGTAAAACATTTAAAAATATTAGCTAGAATTTTAAATATTTCTATCAAAAAAAGAAAAAAAGGTCCAATTAYGTAAATCTTTATACTTTAGATACGATTTATGATAAGATTTGGAAATCTGTGAAAGTTTAGAAAATTTCGGAAAAAACAAGAAAATTAAAAAATTTATATATATATAATAAATTTTATAAATATTTACTTTCTTTTTGTATTGACAAATGCAATTTTAATAAAATCTTATTTACTCCGGATATTATTTATACAGTTGMAGTTTTAAAAAACGAGAAGAAAAATATTTAGCAAACCTTGATAAAATCACCYAGGAGGTAGGAATAAAACAGAACATTCATTATTTAATTTATCTAATTTTACATAAATACTCTATTATAACAAAAAAAATTTATAATACTTAGATATATTTATATGTATGTATAACTTTTAACATATATTATAATGTAACTATTTTAAATATATATACATATATTATATATTTATACATATAAATTATATTCGTTACTATAATAAAAAAAATAAAGGAATCTACGCAAGAAAAAAAAAATTACTGCAGAATTAAAAGAAAAAGGTGCAAGTAAGAATAACTATTTAATTATCAAATTCTATTTTTATTCAAATGTTTGCAATAAAATTTTCTTTACAATACTAAGAAGAAGAAGAAGAAGAAGAATACAAAATACTATATAATTATTTTTTTGAATGAATCAAAAAATACTTTTTCATTTCTTAACACTATAGTCAAATCATTCTTGAGCGGAAAGAATGTTATTTAATATTTTAATTTATAAAAAATTACTATTTATATTTTTTTGTATACGCTATTCTTAACAATTTTTTAGTGAGGCAATTTAACCGCTGGTATAATTTCTTTTGAATTTCTTATGTTAGCTACTTATACAAAAATTCAAGTAGGTACAAGTAAAACTCAATTACTACATTCATTGTCACTGTCTTTAGAAAACAAAGCATATTTTAATAATATCGTTAAATCATTTTTTCCACATCTTAAACTGCAGAAACAAGCATGTGAAAAGCTCTACCAAATATATGGATTAACCGATCCTGAAGATGTACATATTACATACGAAGATATTAATAATATGAAATGTTTGGATTTAGTGATCGAAGAGACTTTTCGTCTTTTTTTCCCCAGTGCTTTTATTGCACGAAATRTATGTGAAGATATACAAGATATTCGTACAAATACTGAATAAATATTTGTATATACAATATATTTTTACAATTTACGTTATTATTTCGAGTAGTAATTACATAAATATATTAATTTTTTAAGTGAGCTAGGATGCAAAAATACAAAAATAAATTATATTTGTGAACTCTTGTTTTTTTCACTTCGTCGAAACGAAAAATATGGGAAATATCCTTTACAACTTAACCCTGATAGGTTTTAACTGTCAATTAGAATACTAAACATTTTTTATCTTTCAGCATTGTGCCAGAAATATGCATTGGTAGTATTATTTCTTTATCTATTATGGAAATTGTTTTATATAGAGATTTTTATATAGAGAGAGATTTTACATAGAAAAAAATTAATATATATATATATATATATATGTAATAATATTTAGAGTAACAAAATTAATTATTATAGTAATAATTAATGTTTATAGTATTAGAATAGCTACATATATTTGTAATTATTGATAATTAAAACCATGTATATTTTTTATATTACTTCACTCGAAACTTACAACCATTAAATTCAAGTTCTAATATTAATGTCCCTAAGAAAGTTCCTACATAGTGTGGAATGTGAAGATAATTTTATTATTATGCGAATAAGAATCTGTTGTTTTTTTATTCACTTACAAGGACTTACAAATAAACAAAATTAAAATAAGGGTAAATACTATCAATTATAATCATTAATTTTAATATGATGACCATAATAATTTTTTAATATAAAAAATACATGATTTTTTTGCTTGTGCAGACTCGAGTATACTCGTGATTCCAATAAAACTTAAGAAATCTACGGTAATTCAAATCGATTGAATAAACATTAACAACAACATAATTTAATAAACATGTTATCGTTTATTAAACATTCATCGTTTGCACTCACTACTCACTATTACCGATACAGAATATTTTTCTCTCCTTGTCCTCCTTTTTTTTATTAATACCACTACACTTCGTCTCTTTGCTTAGCAGTTTTTATTCACTCTGTGAAACTATATTTCTTACTCTCTTTTTCACTCTCTCACTCTCACTCACTATCTATCTCCTTATCTCTCTCTCTCTCTCTCCCTCCCACTCTTTTGTTCTGTCTCTCTTTCTATCTCTCCCTCCAACTCTCTTGTTCTGTCTCTCTCTTTTTTTCTTTCTCTTTTACTCTTTAATTCACTCACGCACGTTCTCTTCCTCCCCCTCCAGTTTATAAATACTACTGTCACTTGTGTGTTTATCGGTTTTGTCTTACCGTCCCTTCTTTTTCATTCTTTCTCTCTCTGTTTGAGTCTAGTTAGATCGGTATCGTATTATGCTACTGTCACAAGGTGCTCTACCGTAAGTCCCGTGGCAATACATCCATGTGATCTCTTTGTACATTTGTGGGTCATACGTTACCAATTGCGATTAGTAGAAAATCATCAGGCAAGAATTCAAAGTCTGTTTCTCTTTATGAAGTGAAAACTTCTTTAGAATCAGAGTGATTTAAAAACGGATGAAACGCAAGTAAGCGTTGTAACAAGCGAGAATACTCGAATGCTAGGGGCGATAATATACGAATGTAAYGGAAGCGACGAATGCTACGTCACTAAAAAGAGAAAAAGAGATCAAAATATATACATCTATCCGCTCTGTGCGAAGTCATGGTAGGGGAAGCCGAAGTAGAGACCCTATAGGAGGGACGCGCTATGTGGATTGCCAGGCTGAAAATGTGGGGGGACAGCTTCCGTTGCATCGCGCAGCCATGTTTATCTTTAGTATGTATTAACAGCTGTGGTTAGTTTAAGTTTTGAATACTTATAGATTTTATTGTGATATTTATATTTAATTGTTTTGATTTTAAAGTAAAAACTTCTTTAGAATGGGAGTGATTTGAAAAATAAAATATCACACGTGTTAGAGGTGAAACCTTCAAAAATCTAAGTTTCGAGAGAATGAGACAAATGCACAGTTCCAAGAGTAAGATAATTGTAGGATTTATTTAT